TTGAATTTAATGAAAAACAACAGTCTATAGATTTTCGTTTTTAGTGTCATGGCATCTGGAAAACTGCAAGAGAAGACTGCTGAGAACAGGAAGTGTCGACCCTGAGGAAAATGATGGAGGACAGAGATGATATTGATAATTGATGACAGACAATTGCGTGTTTGCCCTAACTGGCCATGGTTAACTCTAGGAATGACTCCATGGTTTCATTAAGATAAGGTTGAATCCATGAGAACCTGTGTGACTACAACATTATGCTGGCCGTACACCAGGAAGTACATTATGCAGGAAGTACACCAGAGAACATTCCAAAGTTGGGAGCTGAGACTCCATAATGGAGTCTTTTCTGGTTACTTTGGTATCAAATAAGCAGTTCTAAGCACAAGTGACCCCCAATGTCAGATGAGCAATGGAAACCCTTTAAGAGTAAGACCCAAAGCCCAGGAGTTGTAGCTTTATTCCAAGACAGTAGGTTGACAACAGCTAGGCACAATGACAGACAGAGGCGGGCTCAGTATCTTTCACATTAGGACTCCATTCCCTACAGAGAATGGTACTGTCAAGCTATTTTCAATTTTTCTGAGATAAAAATCTCACACTGTGGCCCAGGTTAGTCTCAATGTTAGAGCAATCTGCCTGGTTCAGGTTTCTAAGTGCTGAGATGGCAGGCAGGCATTTACCACAATACTAACTTGTAACATTCTTAAGTAACACACTACGACATATTGAGAGGAGCTGGGGGACTGTGTGGAAATGTGGTTGCATGTGTGTTGATGGTAGAATTCCAAACACTGTATTTATCCCAACACCCTTTGTCTGGGCAGAATTCACATGTAGGAAACCATGCATCTCCAGATAAGGAGAACTAGTTAGTGTATGAGGCAGGCAAAGACTGAGTCTATGGTCACAAAACACAGAGAGATAAGGAGAGAGTCCTTTATAAGTTAAAGGTGAGAATAGGTAGTACACTTACCTCTCTAATATTAACATGAAGCACTGTGCTAATAAATGTCGGCGTATATGTAACCAGGAAACTGTTGCACCATATGAAAGCAAAGTTATTGACGATAATAGCCCAGAGTGGAAGAGACTTAAGCATAGCTTTGATTGGCAGAGATTGTCTGGGCAAGTCTACCTAGAAAAGAAATCAAGAATCATTCTGAGTGAGGATCAGCTGGAATGTGTCTTGTTTGGAGCAAAATCTAGGAGCTGTCCAAAAGGAGCTAGGTGTTTTACCTGCTGGTTAAGAGAGGATGTGATGTAGTCCTTCTCACTGGTGCTCATATACGGGTGGTCCTTGGGGTCATCATAGAACAGAAGGAACCAGGAAAGACTCAGAACACAGCCAATGATACCTATCAGAGAATCACACATCACAAGGAAGTTCTACCTGGAGTTCTGGATCGAGCCCACTTCAGAGCACCAGTCTGAGAATCTAAGTGATCTCTTTCTTCTCCAAAACCCTCTGAGGCTCACACTTTGAAAGTGTTCTTTGTAACCACAGCTGTTCCTTGTTGTGGAGTGAATTTTACTGAAATGCTGGTGTCGGTGAGCACTTGTTCTGTCCTGATCCAGTGAGTCCGTCCACTCATTTAGGGTTCCCTAATGTTGGCCCTTTATGTTCTCAGATTTGTAATGCTTCCTACCTCCAGAGCATGCCCTACTGACCTTTCACAGAGCTAGACAGCAGAACGATTTGAACCATCACTGAAAGGATAGATGTGCTTCCAAGTTCTGGCTCTGCCTTTGGCCCACTATGGGAATTAGGCATTTCCTGTAGCCTTCTGACACTGACTTAGCCAAAGATGGCTTGAATAAATATCAACAGGCCCTCCATCCCTGTACTTTCCTGTTGAATTTGGCCATTAGAAAGTCTGGGAAGGGATGAGAGGGAGAGAGGGAGCAAGAGCAGAGTATCTTTTCAAACCTATGACATCTCCCTCCTAGAGTTACCTCCTTATATGCCTTTTTTTAATGACTAAACAGGGGTGTGCTTCAGGCATCCAATCTATGGGACTTTTTGACTGGTTCTGATAACTCTGACTCATTTGCTGTCTTGGGGTAGGGGTCAGGGGTAGAGTGGTAGATCTTGTAACCTAACTTTACATTATGACATTGTCCCTGTAATTCTACAATCTGTCTTTCAAAGTAATTGCTTGGTAAATATGATGATTTGAATAAGAGTGGCCCCCATAGGCTCATATGTTTGAATGTTTGATCCTCAGTTGGTAGAACTGTTTGGGAAGGATTAGAAGGTGTGGCCTTGTTGGAGGAGATGTATTCCTTTTGTGATTTCAAAAGCCCACACCAGTTAGCGCTCTCTCTCTCTCTCTCTCTCTCTCTCTCTCTCTCTCTCTCTCTCTCTCTCTGCCTCACATAAGTTCTCAGCTACTGATCCAGAGCCATGCCTGCCTGCCTGTTGCCCTGCTCCCCACTGTGATGGTCATGAACTTACCCTCTTGAACTGTAAGCAAGCCCCCAAATTAAATGCTTTTTAAATAAGTTGCCTTGGTCATGATATCTTATCACAGCAATAGAAAAGTTAAGAAGTCAGTAAATAAATCTCAAATTTGCCATAATTGTGACTTTGACCAATGTGACTTGAGCAGGAAGTAGGAAGTCCTAAGAGGCTTTTGTGTTGAACACTTGGTCCCCAGCTGGTGGTGGCACAGCAGTGAAAGGTTGTGGAATCTTCGGGAAATGGAGGGACTTTTACTGGAGGAAGTTAGTCTGTGGGGGCAGACACCACAGCTTGAATCCAGCAGTGACTCTATAATTCACTTGGTAACATCTGTTCTTTATTCTGCTTACTTACTGCAATTTGTGCAGTGCATTTTTCCCTGAAGATGTTGCTATGTTTGGTTACAGCCTAGCACTACAGGTATGTAGTATATATAACACACTTATCATATGACCTCTCAGACATCAGTATAGGTAACTATTATGATAGTCTATTCCCCCAGAGAGTTTTTTTACATAATATATACCAAACCATAACATGGAGTTGTGTAAACTGGGTAGGAAATCACGAACTTCATTTCTGATCATCATCCTGCTGAATGCTGATTTCTCTTTCCCTTAGTGAAGACTGTGGGTTGTTTGTTGTTGTTGTTGTTATTATTACTATCATTATTATTATTATTATTATTTTACATCCCAACCACAGTTTCCCCTCCCTCCTTTCCTCCCAGTACCTCTCCCCAACTCCCTTCTGCCTGCAGGTTTTTTTTTTTTTTAAAAATAGGGTTATGTTATATTAAATTTAGATTTTTTTTTGTGTATTCTTAAATTTTGCTGCCTTACTGAGGTTTTATAAAAAGAGACTCACCAAAAATGTAGAAAACCATGGGCCAGCCCAGGAGATCACAGATGAATCCACTCACAAGCAGGACAATAAATGGTCCCATTGAAAACCCTAATCAAAGGGCACAGAGGACACCCCTGTTAACTTAACAAAGGCACCTGGAAATGCAGCTAATAAAACTCTGTGTCATAATGAACAATCTCCATGAAAGAAGTTTGTGTTTCCAATGCTCAGGAGGAACAGAGAAAGTCTTTTTTCTTCTCTCCTTTCTGTTGTTTAAGATAAAGACACCTCTTTTTCATTCCAGAACAACGTGTGTGTGTGTGTGTGTGTGTGTGTGTGTGTGTGTGTGTGTGTGTGTCCATGTGCATTCATTTGGAGGCCAGAGGTTGAAGTCCAGTGTTTTCTTCTCTTTGTATGCTCTCTGTATTGAGACAAGGTTTCTCAATGGACTTGGAACTCACGGTTTCAGTGGGGCTGGCTGGCCAGTGAGCCACTGGCTCTGCCCCGACTGTGCTGAGGTGACAGATGTGGACTGCCATGCCTGCTACTTCACATGGGTGCCAGGGGCCTCACGCTTGTGTGACAAAAACTTTATCCACTAAGCCTTCTCAACCCTAATTAAAGCAAGAATATTGCAGGGGATGTTTCTGAGGCCCCTAGCAATTCAAAGCTCACATTTTCAATGACTCTCAGAAAGACTTTGACACAAGGAGGTGAAAACGGGACTTAACCATTCTTGGCTTAAGTACTTACCTGATAGAGTCATTGAGGTAAGTCGGCCTCGTTCCAAGGGAGGTGCCCATTTGACCCATACTCCATGCTGGCCCGTTGACACTGTCCCCTGAAATGGAAAGATAAAGATTTTTGAACTCTAATACTCTGCATCCAAGTTCTATGTCAGTTTTAACCATGTCTTAATACCTGAGCTATTCCCTGGAGTACTCGACACACAATAGCTAAGGTTGCTCCAACTTGTGCCGCTGGTGGGATGAGCAGGGACAACACAGAGCTGAGGAGCAATGAAGACCCAATTATTCTCTTCATTGGGTATATTCCAGATAGGTACCCAACAGGAATTTGAGCTGTGATCATACCAAACATGACAGAACTGAGAATAAGTCCTTGGATATCAAGACTCCAGGAATACACAGGGTTCTAAAAGAAAGAAAGGGAAGACATGTCTGAGGACTTGGCACTGGAGATGTAATCTGGTGTTCATGGTTTCCAGGAATGTGGTCTTCCTGTTCAGTCTGTGTAAAGTAGCCCCCGGCCTTCTAAAATTTGTTTTTGTCTCAAAAAAAAAAAAACTTTTATCATCTTATAATGTCATTTAGCATACATATGTACCTTTTGTCATTGATATTTTCAATTATAGGTTAAGTAACCCTTATCTGAAATGCTCGGAACCAGAAAGGTTTCAAATCATTTTGGATATTGGAGAAATTGGCAGCAGAGGTGAGACACCTGGTTGTATTGCACTCATATTTAGGAAGAAGAAGAGATGAATGCTCATGGCATCAGGGGTAAGATGCCTGGCTGCTTTGCACCCACAGTTAGGAAGAAGAAAGAGATGAATGCTGATGCTCAGGACCTCTGGAACAATAGCTATTTTAGCAGCAGAGCCATCTCTCCAACTTTTGAGCTGTCTTTAATCACAGAATATGCTTGTTTAGATCCTTACTCATAGACTGCAACTTGAACTTTATTTTCTAATTGTTATTATTATTCTGTCAATAATATATGGCCTCTGTAGAAACTAGCTAACAAGATAAAGTCTTAAACGTGTACTTTATACTTTCAATATACCTTTAGATCATCTAGCGTCTCCAATGTAGATCCATTATGTAAATGAGGTGGCTCTGTGCTGTTCACCATGGCTACCATGGTGAGGTTCAAGCATACTCTCTGGGCCATGATGACAATATTACAGAAGTGCAAAAAGATAGCCAGTCCATATCGAAAGGAACAGAAACCTGGAGCTGGGAAGTAGAGAAGGACATCGCAATTAGTAACACTGTTAGAGTCAAAAGTCAGGCGCTGGGAACTCTAGATGTCTTAGATAGTAAATTAAAATTTTATTGTAGAAACATCCTTCTAGAAATTACCATATAATAGGAAGATGTGGGACTGATGTAATAATCCCTATTGCCTTAAGATATAGTTTCAATTAGAATGTCCTGGAATGTTAATCCAGTTTGCAAATGCTTTGGTGCATGTCTATTTTAAAGGAACCTTTGACAAATACCTTTGGTTTTCATTGGAAGTAAGTCCCTTTAGTGATATCAGTGTATTTTCTCTCAAAGAAACTGCTTTAATCTTCAAACTGAATGACGATTGTGGTTGAAAAACTCATATTTTCGCATTGTGAATTTTTTTTTTCTCAAGAGAATAAACTTACCGAGAAAGTATCAAGCTGTGGTAAAGAATGTAGTATTGGTATAAAACCAAATATGTTCATCAGTGGAAGAAAGCAGGGTTCCAGAAATATATGTGCATCTATGACTAAGTGGTGTGTGTGTGTGTGTGTGTGTGTGTGTGTGTGTGTTTTGCACATCTGTATACATGTTCACATTGGGAGAAAGGGGTTGTGCATAAGTGGAGTCCAGAGATCAATGCTGAGCATCTCCCCCTATTGCTCTCCACCTTATCTCCCTTAGTTTTCGAGGGAGCATCTCTCATGGAACCTGGACAACTCTGATTAGGCTAGACTGTCTGGCTAACAGACCACAGGAATCCTCCTCTATCATCTCTCCAGCACCAGGATGACAGGCACATAGCACCACACCTAGCCTTTCATATAGGTGCTGGGGTCTGCAGGGGTCTGCACTTGGGTCACCGTGCTAGTGTTGCAAATGCTTTCCTGATGAATCCATGACCCAACTTCTAAACACTTTGGGCAAATGTAATTCAACGAAGGAAAATAATGTCTGCTTTCAAGAATAGCATTTTTCCCAAGAAAAATTAATACATGCTCACAAAAACGATTTGTAGAAAGTGTTTGAATCAATTTTATTCAAAATAAAAGAATGTTTAGAAAGAATTACATACTGCATTTACTAATATAAAGCATACTTATCAGAATTAAAAAGGAAGGAGGCATTGAAAGACTCAGCTGTCTGGATTCATCTCAACAAAACATGCTAGGCTAAAGAACTTGTCACCAAAGGCTGTCTTCTGTGGCAACAATCTATTGTTACGAAGTCCCCTAACAGTCAAGAATAATTGGTGTGGCCTCTCCTATAGGCAAAACCAGCAGTGAGAATCTCCACCATGCCAAATCCATCTCACGTCTTGCATCTGTCCGACTGCTCCATCTGTGACCTCTAAATGTGGATTTCGAGTCTTATGTGATTCAATCGATTCCCCTTGATAATTACCCTATTTTACTAGGAAATGGTTTGCATGTACCAGGGTTAGGATATGTTAGGGGTGATCTTAGAATTCTGCCTACCATGGTCCATCATCTGACCCCTAAACATTTATGTTCATCACACATGCAAAACATAGTCAACTCATCCTAAGTATCCCCAGTCCCCATTTTATTGTAATGTTACCTTGAACCTCATCAAAAGTTCATTACTTCAAACTGCAAAATCTCACCATCTCTAAATCAGGCCCAGATGACCCTTACAGGAACGATCCGACTGGGCTACAATAGCTACCTGTGGACTTGCTGAAGAGACAAATTTAAGTTCTCACCACTGCCAGCATGCAAGAATGGGACAGGCAGGGGCAAAACTATGAACATTAAAATTCTAAAAGAGAAAAAAGTCATGAATCCGCAATGGGTTTGAAGTTCAGCTGAACAAATACTAGGTTTTAAAATATGAATTTTTATCCTACTTATAAAATAAAATAGTATAAAGTGTTATAATCTGATAACTGTAAGGGTACATTTTCATTGTCAGTTTGACCATTTTGAGAAACTACCAGAAACATGGTAACTTATACTTTTGGGCTTGTTTTGAGAATTTTCCAGAGAGGTCTAGAATCTGGGTCCCTATTCAGATGAGTATTTTTTCCAGTAAGTCCCTGGAGGCTGCTACCTCTCATGCAGGCTGATCAACATAATGTCATCGATATAATCGACCACTATGATACCTTCTGAAAGAGAAAAACAATCAAGATCCCTGCGAACTAACTCACAACACCAGTTAGAAGATTGACAGAAGTTACACATGGGCACAGCGCTCACCAAACCCCACATATCTATGGCTGTTGCTCAATGCTCAACCTGCCAGCAACAGACACCAACAGTGAGTCCACAATAAGCCAGTTCCTGTGGGTGTTCAGCTAGCAAGCTGATAGCAGATAGTTTGTATTAGATAATTTCCTGTATAGATGGGTCAGTGTTTTGTATTTACTAGATAGACAGTTCTTCTGGATATGAATTTCTCCTTCCTCTATGCAATGTTTCTCTAGAAATAACTTTCTCTGAATTCAAAGAATGCCTTGTTTCCCCATCATGGTGTTCTATAACACAACAGGAGGTCACTCACTTCCCATTCAGAGATGTCAAGTAGTGGGCCTGTGTTCATGGAATTCGTTGGTCTTACTACACTTGTGTTGGGATGGCCTTTTGAAGACACAGTTACAGCATCAGCTTGGTGGCAATACTCGGAAGAGCTGGAACACCATTCTGCTGGAAACTGTGTATACTTGGAATCAGCATCCAACACATAGTGCTGTTTTCCCCATAGTCAAAATTCAGGAATCCAGGGATCACGGGGTTGAAATAGAAACCATCACCCCTGGGGATTTTTCAGTAAAGTTTCACTTTCTATTTGCAGGAACCACTGCTCTGCTGGACTCTACACACTGGTTCCAGGGGGAGAAATTCAGACACTGATGGTGTAGCAAGGACTCCACGGGAAGATAAGGCTTCTCCCCTTGGGGACTTTGAGCCAATGGGCTATGAATGGAGTTAAAGGTTCATGGGTGATAAATCTGATCTACCAATAGGAAAATCTGGCTTCCGTTCTAACTTGGCAAGCAAGAGTGTGGCAAACAGCAATGTCTTTTAGTGTCTCTCTTGGGGTTTCCCAGCCTAGTGATTAAGGCCAATGGGACTCAATCACAATCCTACCCAAGCAGAACTACAAACGATGCAGACCTTTGGAAACCAAGCTGTAGATCCCTCACCAGGTAAAGACCTCAGTCCATTGAGGTGCTTCATGAAGACAAAGGCTGTGGAAGGTGGTGTTTATAAACATCAGCTATGACACATGACCTATTTATAAATACTAACTATGACATGCGATCAGTCCCAGAAAATGCAACAGTAGTTATCCTTACTATTTATTTCTTCCCTGTTTTGTTAAGAATACATTTGTGACTATACATATATGTATTAAGCAAATTATTTTTTTTTCTTCTATTTTGTTTTTATCACTTATATGGGACTTGTTGATGATATACTAATATTTAAGCACTGTTAGTTGCATGGTAGTTATGGGATGTCAGAAGAACATTAAGAATCATGTGAAAACTCTATTGCCTTTTCTGAATATTTCTGAGTTTATGCTTCCATAGAACAGTTCTCTCACATGCCATCAGTGGTGTTGTGTTTAAGAAGGTGGATGCCTCCTCCACCCCCTCCAACCCCGTACAAGGGGACAGCACTACCTTTCTTGGGAAGGCACTGGTTCTCCATTTGATACTTATCTTCTTGTTGATGGGTTTGGTCTCCATCCACTGTGGATGCAAAACACGCTGGTCAGCATAATAAAGGAAGAAACTGAGCAAGCACTCAGGACTCCTCTCTGGCTGAAAGCCAGAATCAAAGGATGACTCACCCCCATCACACCAGTGCCCTTCCACCCCCCCTGGGGGTCTTAGTTAACATTCCACTGTCATGATATTATTTATTTATTTATTTACATTTCCCTTTTTCATTTTATGTACCGACCTCTGTTCCCCCTCCTTCCCCTTCTCTCACTAGCTTCATCCTCCTCCATCCCAGCCCCATCCGTTCCTCTTGGGGGGTAAGGCCTCCCTTGGGGAGTCAACACAGGCTGGTATACCAAGCCCCTCCCACCTGAGTCAAGGCTGAAGATGGCATCACACCATAGGGAATGGGCTCTAAAAAGCCAGTTTAATCCTAGCACTCGGGAGGCAGAGCCAGGCGGATCTCTGTGAGTTCGAGGCCAGCCTGAACTACCAAGTGAGCTCCAGGAAAGGCACTGCAAAGCTACGCAGAGAAACCCTGCCTCGAAAAAACAAAAAAATGTACACGGGATAACTCCTGGTCACATTTCCAGGGGACCCACAAACAGATTGAGCCACACAACTGTCACCCACATTCAGAGGGCCTAGTGCAGTCCCATGCAGGCTCCCCAGCTGTCAGTCCAGAGTCCATGATCTCCCACTAGGTTGGGTCAGCTGTCCTGTGGTTTTTCCTATCATGATCTTGACCTCACTTGCTCCTATAGTCCCTCCTCCCTCTCTTCAACTGAATTCCAGGAACTCGGCCCAGTGCTTGGCTGTGGGTCTCTGCATCTGCTTCTGTCAGTCACTGGATGTAGGGTCTATGATGACAATTAGGGTAGATACCAATCTGAGTACAGGGGAAGGCTAGTTTTTTGGTTCATTTTAAATGTATTGAAAATTTGGTAACTATAGAAAACAAGCAACACTGTCAATCCAGTTTTTTTTTTTATTCAATGAAAAATAAAGACTTTATTACAGAAACAAAAATTGAGGACATTTGCTGCCAGTAGGCTTGCCCTGCAAGACAGACTGACAGAAGACTATAGTCAGGAAGAGGCTGCAGTGAACAAAAGCTAAATGTTGGGAAAGGAGTAAATACAAGGAAAACTCATTTTCTGGATTTTTTTTTTCCTTTTTGTTTTTTGAGACAGAGTTTCTCCATGTAACAGCCCTGGCTATCCTGGGACTTGCTTTGTAGACTAGGCTGGCCCCAAACTTACAGAGATCCACCCACCACTGCTTCCCAAGTGCTGGAATTAAAGATGTGCTCAACCACCGTCTGGCTTGTTTTGTTTGTCAAGAGAGATGAAGTATGACTGTCTTCTTAGTAATGTTCTACTCTCTGGAGATAGACTGTTCTCCATAGCCCCATGTAAACCTGTCTATAGCCTCAGTTTCTCTGGAAACAGAGTTACTGCAGCCAAGCCTGTATCTACTGGAGGAGGGGGTAATGAGGCTGAGTTAGAATTCAGTCCCACATATGCTGTGAGTCTATACTATGAGATCTGATTTCATCAGTTCACATGACCCCTGTGTCCCCAAGACTCCAAAGATTTGTGTATTTGAAGCATTCTAGAATGCATAGAGTGTCACCCACAGTTTTCACACATTGGAGCCTCTTTTGAACTGCTGTTTATGCAACAAACACACAACACAATACAGACATACTACACATACTCACAGAAAAACACTACATATATACTATAGTTAGAACACAGTACACAGATACTACACACACACCATACAAACCTACACTTGCATACTACACACAGAGAGAAACACTCTATACATACTATGCATACAACACAGTACACAAATACTTGACACAGAGAAAAACACCACACACACATAACTAATACACATATACAAAACACTACATTCATCCTATGCATATAAATCAATGCACAAGTCCCTTATACATACATATTACACACAGAGAAAAACACTACATACGTACTATACATACAACACAGTAAACAAATTTACACACAAACAAAACACTATGCACATAAAACAATATACACAGACTACACTACTACATGCACACAAACATTATACAAAGAGAAACATGACACATACAACATACTTACAAGACAATACATGGACACTACTACTACTACTACTACTACACACACACACATACACACACAGGGAAGCACTAAATACATACTACACACAGAAAAGCACACATATGCTGCACATGCAACACAATACACAGATACAACAGCCATACAAATATACTACATACATCTCACACCCATAACCATACTACACACAGACTCTACCCACAAGAACATGTTACATACGTATCATGCATAAACACTATGCACAAACCCAGTACACTCCTACTATACACACAAATCTACTATACACAAACCCAGTATACACACACTGTACATACACAAACCACATGTAAATGTGCACTTTACACACAGACACAACACACACGAATAATGCAAACCCTCCTCACATCCGGTAGAAACACCTCCACCCACAAACCAATTCTACATCTATCTCTATAGCATATAATGATACGTGTGCACAAACTGCTCACACCACACACCATACCCACCTGCAGCCAGCGGACCACAGGCTGTAAGCACTTACTCTTCTCTCCAGCAGGTCACACTACAGCAGTCACACTCACCACACAGTCCCCAGCCTGTCACACTACAGCAGTCACACTCACCACACAGTCCCCAGCCTGTCACACTACAGCAGTCACACTCACACAGTCCCCAGCCTGTCACACTCACCACACAGTCTCCACCTCTTCTTCCCTGGTATCCCTGCAAGTACTGCCCATGTCACACACACTTACTTCTAAAAATATGTTCTTTCCCTCACTTGCTTGTGAAAAGCCTCTACAGAGAAGCAGATTCTTCTAACAAATTTCCCCACATTTGCTAACTACCTTGGGAGATTCTCCACTAGGGACCCCAAAGCCCTCTGAAGAATTAAAAAGTAATTTCCCTTGGCATATGAAGAAGAGCACACTGACCTGATTAAGACAGACAGCCCTTCCTCCTTCCCGGAAGACTTTTCACTCAGCTTCAGTGAGGAATTTTTCTACTCACTGGTAAACCTATACTGCATTCTTTGACCTCATCACGTCAATGGGGAACATTTAATTTTTAACCTTTCTTTTAGTGTAGCCTTGCATCTTCTGATGCCCAAGTCTTGAGATCATCCACTGCACTAGAACCTTCTGGGAACCCATCAGCAATTTCAGTATTAATAAACAGATCCTTTAATCTTTAACCGGTTACTCAGAAGGGAGATTGCCTTCCAAAAGTGTTCCCAAGATGTCTCAGTTGAGGAGGACTTTGGAATTCCATGGATTGTTGTAGAAATGCTACGGCTTTAGAGACATCCTATTAGATTTATTGTCTTTCCTCCCGCTCTGCTCCCTTCCTTCCCTCCTTTTCACCCACTTCCCTTCTCTTTCCCTTCTCCCTCTACTCCCTCCTTTTGTCCCTCCTTTCCTCTCTTTTCTCTCTTCTCTTTCCTATCCTCCTCTGCTGCCTTCTTCTTTCCCCTCCCATCCCCTCCTTTCTTCCCCACTCCTCAGAGATGGTATCTGTTTGATATTTGACAGGTTCAGAAGGTTGTGTGTCATCTATGGCCTGCCTCTCAAAGCTATGACTTGCTCTGTGGCTTCTCCTGGCTCAGCTCCTGGGTCTTCTGAAACATTTGAGCTGAAATTCTTTGAATGTAATCAGCTAATCAGTTAGGGATATCAAAGCCCTGAATCGGAAATTTTTCACTGTTGATAATTTGTTAATAATTATCAACTTAAGCATTTTAATTTTTATTATGCCTTTTCAATTCCCATCAATAGTTGACATTTAGCAGGTACTCCATGACTTGAACCCTATTTTTCCTCCTAAACAGATGTTGAAACTAGATGTGGTATGGGCCTATGAGCTCTGTATTTGAGGCAGAGGCAAGAGAATCATGAGTTTGAGGCAGGTCTGGGCTACATAACAAGGTCCAGACAAGCCCTAGATGTACAATGAGACCCTGTATCAGAAAAGGAAAGAGAAGGGAGAGAAGAAAGGGAAGGGGAAAGAGGGGAAAGAAAACTCAAATGTTGACTCAAACCCCTGACTCTGGAGCCTTGTCTTGTTAGAGTTGTGATTCTAGGAGGTGTTGATCCTCAGTGTGGCCCAACAAGTCTCTATTATCTGCTGGATACTACATCTGGTGATTTCTTGCACTTTCCAGAAAGGGGGACCTTTAATGATTGAAAGGCCCAAGTTAGCAGTTGTTCAATGTCCACATGTGGAATAAACAGCACTCCCACATGGCATCAATGTCCCAAGGTCTAGGTACAGATTACCTAAGAAGGACTGTCTCCACTTTCCATTGCACCATGAGGCTCTGAAGTTGCTTCATCCGGATTCCTTGTTTTGCTTATTAAATTTTTACTTTAGCGCTTTATCATGGAAAATTTCAAATACACAGAAGAAATAGAACAGTCCAATGAAACCATGGACCTATTAACTAGCTTCAACTATTATTAGCATTGAATTTCTCTGTCCAATAGTTGTTTCTGTAGTGTTCTAACACAATTATCAGACATCATGTAATTTCTTCTACAAAAAAAAACAAACCCAAAAAAACAAAATAAAAACCTCAGTAAAAAAAACTTAATTCATCAGAAAAATTATACCATAAATTTATAACATAGCTCACCCTTAAACAATTCACTCCCAGTACCACATGCCTTCTGTCTGTAAGAAGTTCATATTAAATCAGGAATGTTGTCACAGGCTTATAAATCTGAGCACTTGAGAAACTGAGGCAGGGGAATCATGAATTTGAGGCCAACTTGGGATACATATGGAGTTCCAGGCTAACTTGTCTTGAATATTGAGATCTTATCTGAATAAATAAATAATAAATAGATGAATCATGTAATAAAAATAGCTATATAGAACCCGGAGCGGTGGAACATGTTTGTATCCCAGCTCTCAGGAGATTGAGGCTCAAGGTCATGAGCTTGAGGTGAACTAGGACTACACAGAAGGTTCAAAGGTCCAAAGTTCAGCCTGAGATCCATATTAAGATCCAGTATTCTAAAAAATAGTTCTATTAAAGCTGAGGACATTCATGGTAATGAAATCATCTGGCACAGCTAGTCAAGGGAAAGAGATCATAGTCTACACAGGCCAGGGGTGTCCTACGCTTTGGCTTTCCTAGGCTATATAGGATGAAAAATTTCCACACAGTAAATATGAGTAAACAAAAGTGTCTGTGTCTTTCTGCCACTACAGTTAAGCAACATCCTTACACAGTAGCCCCAATTATATAGTGCCCCACTAGGAGAGTCTTTCAAAGTTGATGAGAAGGCTCCAAGTTTGTGATCAATAATAAAGGAAGTAAACACATCTAAGTAATAAAACTCCATTGACTTAAAAATTCATTATAAAAGTCAAAGAAAAAGCCAGGCGATGGTAGTGCATGCCTTTGATCCTAGCACTCAGAAGGCAGAGGCAGATGGATCTCTGTGAATTTGAGGACAGCCTGGTCTACAGAGTTAGTTCCAGGACAGCCAAGACTACATAGAAAGACCCTGTCTCTACACCCCACCCTAAAAAAAAAGTAAAAGAAAAGAGGGCAACATGGAACTACTGGGCCATTTGATGTTGTATTTGAGAAGCTCCTGCCTCAACATCTGGATTAATGGAAACAGCTGCTTTCTCACTGAGTTCTAATAGTGTTCATCAGATATTTTCCTTCTAATTCTGCTTGGACTGTGCTTCATTCTTGAAAACAGGTTCTCACAAATATAGTCCTGGGCAAGAAGTTATAACACAAATAAAAGGTGTGATTGAAAAGTGAAGGATATTCATCTTTGGGGAGAAGGGACCTATAGAAGTCTAATAAAAGAGGCATGTGGTGGTTTGGATGAGAATGGCCTCCATAGGCTCCTATATTTGAATGATTAGTCACCAGGGAGTGGAACCATTTAAGGATTAGAAGGATTAGGAGATGTGACCTGCTTGGAGGAAGTATGGCCTTGTTGGAGGAAGTATGTCACTGGGGGTAGGCACTGAAAATTCAAAAGCCCACACCAGGCCCAGTCTCTCTCTCTCTCTCTCCTCTCTACCTGCTGCTTGCGCATCAAGATGTAAAGTGCTGCTCTAGCACCTTGCCTGCCTACTTGCTGCCACACTTCCTGCTGTGATGATGGTGGATTAACTCCCTGAACCTGTAAGCGAGCCCCCAATTAATGCTTTCTTTTACAAGAGTTGTCTTGGCCATGGTGTCTCTTCACAGCAAGAGAACAGCGACTAAGACAAGGAACAAAGATTTTTTTTAAATGGAAGGTCAGTTTGCAGCTCAGATTGGAATAGACGATGTTCCATTTAAAAACTGCCAGGCAACATACTTGTGTCAACTAAAAATGGACTTGCAAGTATACCAAAATACTGATTATTTTACCAAAAATTATGAAATCTGTTTTAGTTTAAATGAACCAATGAGGCTTCTAAAAATGCTAAATATATAAGCCTGTTTTCATGAGCAAATTTTGGTACAAACTTCTGTTTTGATACCATAAATGACTAGATAACATATAGCAAATGATAATCTCTCAACATTTGTCCTTGACTTACTCATCTTATATCCAAATGCAAATGATGCATTGCCATAGTCAGCACACCAACACTTTTAAGAAATTCTTGGATTTGATGATGATTTGGCCCTTAGGAAAGTCAGTTTTGATGATCATTTGCCTGGTGTTATCCATTTCTAATGCCTTTGTGCATATAATATCTTGATAACATTTCATTAAGCATGAGCTTGGGGCACCAATTTCTTCTATTAATTTGAAAATCCCCCCTCTTTTACCTGTCATTGCTAAAGCCTGGTACATGCCTTTAATCCCACACTCAGGATGCAGAGGTAAATGGATCTCTGAGTTCATGTCAGCTGGTCTACAGAGAGACTTCTAGGCTAGCCAGGGCTATACAGTGAGCTACTCAAAAAAAAAAAAATAGAAAAAAAAACTGCACCAGATATATTGATAGTGAACAAAGAATATCAATTTTAACATATCCTGTGATTGCTTCATATAAATCCCTTGATTTATATGTGTTTCCTTGGTGACGTTATAGTTCTCATTGATTGACACCTTTAATAAAAAATTGCTAGTTGAGCTGTTTTTGTGTCACTAGCACTGCCACTATGGCCACAGCATAAGATTTAAAATAAAAAGTTTTATCTCTAAACTTCATTTAATAGATTTTCCAGTGTCTTTAATTCACCAGACGAGAAAACTGATCTGAGCAATCCTCCCTTCTTCTCAGCATGGTTTATGTCTGCCACACTATCCCCTACATTGTTTCATAACTTCACCATCAGTAACTGATTTTGGTACTTTTGCTATTAAATATTTTACCATATAATTAGCTGTCGTAAGAGAATCTGTTTACATTGCAACTTAAAAAAAAAAAAGCTTTTTATTGAGAAGACAGACTCTTGTTCCACTCCGCTCATTTTCCTTACAACACAGTCCTTGATATGAACCAGACTTGGCAGCATGTTTTTGTGCATAATGCCTTTTCAAATTACCATCATTGAAAGCTTGCACATGAAGCAGAGCAGTTATTTGCTTCAACAGGTTAATTAGAGTGGTTATTTGCCTCAACAGAAATGCATTCATCTGTTCACTTTCATTGAATAATCTTCCTTCATTTGACAATGCTTCTTTTGAGGAGGAGTTCAGTTTTCTTTTGAGACTTTGGAGAAGCCATGTTGAGATTGAAGAATAATAGTACATATGTGCCTATATGTACTTTTATTATGGAAATTAATTGGCAGGAAATGAGAAAGCAAGGATTGGCCCCTTGGACACGCCTCAACTGCTGATGCTGTGTGAAGTAGAGGGTGGCTTGTGAAGGTTGGCAGATAGTACATAAGGTACTGGATGAGGTCTGGACGTAGTCTCAGGAAGTGACTAGGAATCCTCACCAGTCTTCTAAATGATGCTGAGCTCCACCACATTCAGGTAGTGAGTATTATCTAGATGACTCGGTCCTTTGGGAAAGACACATAGACTCAAACGATAGAATTTGGAACATGTCAAAGGTAAATTCATATGAAGACCAGAAAGAGACTGGCACCCTTGGTTATACCCATCCTCGGGGGAGAGGGGTATTTGAGAGGACTATCCTGCGAGACTTGGTTGGATTTTGATAGCTCACCTACCCATGTGATGTCTTCTCTCTATGGTTCTCAACTCCCATGGTGAAATAGAAGCTACTGTGTGTGCCAGAGAGACAGCTAGCTGGTGGGTCTTTGGCCTGTGATAGATCTTATGCTAATGAGG